GTTGCCATGGGCTACCGTGAGTAGCTGGCAGCCAGCGTGAGCGGCCAGCAGCCACAGTGAGCGGCATTCCAGAAGCCGGTGACTGATCTGCCTCGCCCGGGAAGAGCACAATGATGGTGCCAACTTGGGCCAATGAAGCAACGTCCTCCACAACTAGACTGAAGAACAAAACGACAGCAACTTGTCTGTTCCCCTTCCCCCAACTCCCCAATTAAAAAAAAAATCTTTAAAAAAAAACCCAAACAATTTATCTCACAGGGTAGCTGTGAGGAGTAAATGAGGGGAACAATGAAATGATTAAAGCACAGAGAAGTGTTCTATCACATCAGCTTTATTATTGTTCTTCCCTTCTGACCCCAACCTCTAGTCCTCCCGTGCTTCTTCTGACCTTATGTGTTGGGTGCTGTCGGGGCCTCCGATAGAGGATGTGAGCTGAGGCCTGGCCCACTCTACCACTCAGAGTCACCTCAGTCTGAGCAAGGCTGCTCAATGCTCCCATGGGGCCTGGGCCATGAAGCTCTTCATGTAGCAGGCCTAGCACACGCACCTGCTTTACTGGGTAGCTGTCATCTAGAGAAGGACAAGAAACAGGGCACAGGGCAATAGGAAGCATTCAGGGTGGATACCTGGGATCAAACAGGAGGAAAAAAGGAAAGAGGCCCACATTTCCATCACAGCTCTGCCACAATCCTGACTTTGGCCAGCTTCATGGCCCTGCTCTGAGCCTCTTTCAGCCCTCACCTTTATAATGTACTTTCTTATTTCACTGTAAATCTGATTAAGGCACCACTCTGACTACAATTCCCAGGACCAACTGATGGAATTAACTTTCATCATCTGGTCCCTGCTTTATGTCTTACATACTGAAGTACTTGCAGTTTTTGGAGCTTGCCAAGATCCTAGTCAGTGCCTTTGATTCCCTCCCTTTCGGGGAGCATTTACAGAGTGTCAGGCACTGCACCAAACACTTTAACTTTTCAATCCTTACAAAGGTTTGAAATTTTTTAGGTTGAACTATATGAAATTGCTCATATTTGACATTTGATCATTAGTGAACTACAAAAACGGCAATTCCACACTTTTACAAAGGAAACTAAAGCACTGAGATCAAGTACCTTAACACAAAGCTGGGTATCTGACTCCAAAGCCCATGCCAATAGCCACAGTGTACTTCGGGGCTAATCCAAGTGCCGTTGGCCTGGCCAAATTTTCCTGGCTGACCCCTTGCCAAGACAGTTTGTTCCTTTAAGGTACTCTGGACATGTTTATCATCATGGCCCTTATCAGAATGTCTTGTAACTGCTTGTTTACTTGTCTGTAACCTTTATGGGGCTTTGAGCTGCTGGAAGACAAGGAACTGACTGCCGTTAGTCTTTGTTTTCCCATTATCTAGACTTGTATCTGACACATTGTACACTGTATGTATTTAATGTTTGTTGAATGAATGAATGAGTGAAATGCATGAGTAAAAAAGAACCTGAAAGAGAAAAAAGTGACTGGTAGGTGGCATTATAGAGAAGTCAAGAACTAGTATAAAGGTTAAAGAGATGGAAGAAGGTTCACTGGGAGATCCCTGACATGTTTTTTCTTAGGGTAGAAAGGGGTAGGTTCCTTGGCAGGGGGAAATGTATGAGGGGAAGTAATGAAGGAGGGGTCTCACCAGGGCAGGTGTCCTGATGGCTCAGAGCATGCAGGGTCTGGCAGAGTGTGGTGCAGGGAAGGTGAAGCAGCAGCCAGCTAAGTGAATCAAAAGCAATGGTGACAGGACCAGGATCTGTTCTCCTGTACATGGCTCTCAAGACTCCCAGGGGCCCCCCTGGAAGGGCTTCTCCAGTCTTTGACCAGTTGAGAGGATCTCTGAAGAGGTCATGATAAACCAGCCTGCAAAGGGAAAATAAGAGACAACATAATACTGCCCCATCCTCCTAGTCTTGAAATTCATCCTGTGATCTTTGTGGCTCTGTTTTCTCGATTTTCACTAATATCTTAAATACCAATGAAAGGTTAATTACTGAGAGGTAGAATATAATGATTGAGAAAACAGACTTTGCCATCAAATAGCCCTGAGCTCCAATCTTGGCTTTGCTACTTGCCCAAGGTCACCTAAATAATAAATCACTTGATCTTTCTAGACTGAGTTTCTTCATTTGTAAAGTAGGGAAACCAACTTGACATTTAGCATAGACATACTAAATACTTGATAAATGTTAGTTATCATCACTATCAAATATTTCCTGAGCGGTGGCTAAAGTGTATAATTCTCTGGATGGATAAAGAGAAAGGGAAGAATGAGACATGGTTCCAGCATGCAGAACAGCTTAGAGAAGGTCAAGAATTAAATCATGTACTAATTTCAGAAAAACACAGCAATTCAGGGAAGGAAGACTGGTGTGGGGTAGAAATGCTGGAAAAGCTTCATGGTGGCAGAACTTGTTCACAGACACCTCCTTTGTATCTTCTGCTTCCCTTGTGAATGCCATCTTAACATACAGCATCACCTCTATCACAATGGCTGACACAAAATTAGGGTTCAACAGACAAAGGTAAACTACTGTTATTATCCATGGAGCTACCCAGACCAGAAAGTAGTCTTTCTTAACCAGGCAACATAGGTAGGTTCAGGAACTTCCCAATCTGGATACTACCCCACATTAGTCTATAAGTCTTGGAAATCTACCTGCTAAAGTTCTTTCACATTTGTCCTAAACTCTCCATCCCTACTGCCACTCCCTTGAGCCAGGCCTCTGTCACTTCCTACCATTATGCTCTAAGATTCATTAGAACAGGGATCACATCTACCTCATTCACTACTGTATCTCCAATGCCCAGCACAGCACCTGGTTCACATTCGGTGCTCAGTACATATCCATATGCATGAACCTGGATTACTGCAATAGCATTCCCACCTGGTCTCCCTATCTCCAGGCTGCCCTTTGCCAACCCATTCTCCACACTGTGGTCACCAAATCTTTCTAACAGGAATGATGTTATCACTCCTCTCCCAAATTTTCAGATGACTCTCCACCACCTTTACAATAACATCTAAACTCCTTTCGTACTCTGTAAAACCTTTTACTATCAGGTCTCTTGTTATCTGACCCCAGGAAGTTCTTCCACCTTCCATGAACACTTAGGTATGCCCTCCCATACCTCCTTAACTTTGCATATGCTGTTTCCGCTGCCTGTAGTACAAGTCCCTCAGTAGCTTGCATTTAAGTGTTGATGCAAGTTTGGAATCCATGTCTGGATTATGCATCACAAGATTCTGAATAACTCAAAAAGCAGAACATATTTATTCTTCTCCTCCAGTACAGCCTCTAGTGCTAAACTGTACTGTTGGCCTTTTATTACACTCTATTTCTCTCTCAATTTCTGCAGTCTCTGCTTTGGATTCTCCAGATACTCATCACTCCTTATCCTTCCTCTTACTAATTCTCGTGAAAGGCCTTTTCTCCTGAAAGATCCATATCCATTCATTCAAAGAGTAAGTAGCTGCAACTGTAAGAGAAGTTCCTTAGCAATAGAGATCCCATATCCAGTTAACTCTGTTCCAATTTGTACTTACTGGCTGTTAATATTGGCGTCAAAACCTTCACGAAACTCTTCCTCGCTCACTTCACAGCCCAGGATGTGGACTTGCTCCCCACTGAGGCACATATGAGGCAGTGTCAAAGAGTGGGACCCAGGCTTCCTTCCCGGGGAGGACGGGGAGACGCTGCAATACTCACCACAGTGCAGATTTCTTGATAAGAGCCTTCAAGAGACTGCGCCCCTCCCACTCCACAGAGTCTAAGAAGAGCGAGAGACCGATAAAACAGCGGGAGAATACTGAGTTTTCCACCTTCACGAACCCGTCGCAACCTCCACCCCTAACCTGTGACCCACGGTCCTTCCTTTCCACTTCCTTCCCTTGAGCCCAGTTCTGAAGCCCCTTGTGCCTGTGACCCCCTCACCTCGAAGCAGCACAAGGCCGCCAGGAGCCAAAAGAGATTCCAACATCTCAAACTCGCGTCCAGTCCCTTCACCGACGCACTCTGATGGCGTCACGACCAGCTGCTCCGCCCGGTCCAGGTAAAAGGGGCGGGGCATCCATGATCCCTCCCACCACTAAGACCTGACATCGTCTGGGATAAGAGGTGGTCACGTTCCATTTTCCCACAAGGGCTCGCGCAGACGGCCCCCTCCTGAGCCCTAGCGCACAACCATAGGGGCGACACCCCTCTCTACATTTTTACAATGACTAGGGCAGGAAGAGCGGTTGGGGCAGTTATCTACGGGAGGGGTTAGGTGGCCTTACAAGCTCGTTCGGCGGCCTGAACTCGGGGGCAAGTGACGTCACTAACCCCGTTCACCCCGTTCAAGGCGGGACCTGTTTTGCCCCAGGCCCCGCCCCATCGACACCTTCCGCGCGTGCGCGGTACTGCGGCCTTGTTCTGGGCACACTCCACTTTCATTATCCCCACCCCCATAGGCCGAATGGGGGGGGGACATGAAACCCGGTTAAGCGAATACACGTCACCACCGGAAGTAGTGTCAGACGGGAAGAGGAGGGGGGAAGAAGGGAGGAGGGAGCCCTTTGGGCGGTAAAATGGCGCCTGTCAGAGTGGGAAATCCTGCTGCAGAGACTGCAGCCCCTCTCCTCAGCGGCTAAGGCGCCCCAGACCTCGGGGAGGGGGAGGCCGCTCCGGGTCAGCCATCCGCGCCTTTCGGCTCCCCCTCCCCTTCCTTCCCCGCTCCTTCGCTCAACCGGTCGGTTCACTGCCGCGGCCCTTCGCGCACCCCTGCCCCCGCCCGCCCCATTCCCGCGGGCAGCCCCCTAGCGCGCCTGCGCAGCGGGCCACCCTTCTCTTCCCCCTTTCCCTCCCCCTTCTCCCTCCCTCTGTCCCTTATCCCCAGCCCCCTCCCCC